AAATAAAAGGGTACCTGGAATCAAATCCATCCGTCGGGAAAACGCATTTTATAGGGCCGGATCCCCAACCCCGCACTGCGAGCCGCAATGGAGGAGAACGCGGCGCCGCTCCGGAAGCTTTGCGATGGGATCCGGAGCCGCCTAGAGGTGACCCCGACCCCACAACTCCGCCCCATAACCGCCGCCTCCCCCTTCGGGCCGCCCCGCCGCTTTGGGGTGCGGGTGGGTTGGGGGCGTTTGTAGGGGAAAAGGGGGGGGATTTGGGGGACAGAGGGGGAACCTGGTGGGATTTGGGGTCTTTCATAGAGAAAGAGAGGGATTTGGGTTCCCTATACTTCAACGCTTGGGGTTTCCCCATACATCACATTTTGGGGTTCCCTATAGACTCCATGTTTGGGTTCCCCTACAACCTCAACATTGGGGTTCCCTATAGAGTAAATGGGTTCCCCTACAACCTCAACATTGGGGTTCCCTACAGACTCAATGGCTCCCCCTATAACCCCAACCCCCGTGACACTTTGGGGTTCCCCCTACCCCCTCCCCACGGGGCTCCGGCTCTGATGCTCCCCGCACCCCACAGAACGGACACAGGAGCCCCATAGGGCGGAAAGGACCCTGAGTTTATTTCCCCCTTCCCCCTCGTTTCTCCCCCCTTGGCGGAGCGGCTCCCCACGGCCGGGCGCCCTCCATCTTCAGCTCCGCGAGGAGAAGGAGGAGGAGGAAGCGTAGGAGGAGGAGGAGGAGGAAGAGAAAGATGAGGATGAGGAAGGCAGCCCCACTCTGCCCTCCATCGCCGCATCCACCGCCGCCCTGAGTTCCAGGGTCCCGATGAAGGACCCCCGCCTCTCCCGCCGGCGCTGATCCGCATCGCTGACCAAACCCCTGGACAGGGAGGCCACGAAGGAGCGCATCACCCTCCTGGCCGTGACGGACATCCGGCGGGACGCGGGCTCCTCCACCTCGCATCCGTGGCACGAGTTCCTCCCGTGGGCTTCCGTCCTCATCCCGTTGCCGGACCCCCCGTAGGACCTTCGGCACGGCGGCCTCCATTGGACGCGGCGGAGTTTCCGCCTCCTCCTCCTCCTCTTCCTCCGCTGTTGCCTCTCGCTGGGTGCCGCCATGAGGGTCCGTTCCCTCCCCCCCCGGTCCTCCACCGTGGGTCCCGTCGGAAGCCCTATGAGGGCTCTATGGGGCCGCGTTCCGACCCGGCGCCGCGATTGGTCGCCTGTCCCGAAGCCGTTGTGATGTCAGCCGCCCTCCTCGGAATTCCCACCGCGATTTGGGCCCAAAAAACGGAGAATCGGGTCCGGAAAAAAAAACCGCAGCCTTGTGTTAAGGAACGAGGATGAGGAGGGGGGAGGAACGAGGATGAGGAGGGGGGAGGAAGTCGGCCGGGTGTCAGGATGGCCGAGTGGTCTAAGGCGCCAGACTCAAGGCTCAGCTCTTCCCTGCGGGATTTCTGGTCTCCGAATGGAGGCGTGGGTTCAAATCCCACTTCTGACACAGCTTTTGGGTTTGGGTTTTTTTTTTTCCCC